ATTAAACCTATCACTATCAAATTAATTACATATATTTTATCTTTTTAAACATTTGAACATTTATATGAAGATCAATATGTTCTTTCTGCAGTTATACATCCGTATTCAAGCATCAATGGCCAGGAAAAAACTTCCATAAAACGAACCTATAAAAAATAAACTTATAGTCATTGGAAAAATGCATTGAAAATCATAGAAATGATAATGTAAGAACTGTTAATTTTAAAATATCCATTTTTTTGACGAGGAAGTAGAGGATGGATTGGAGGGTAACTTATCTCAATTTTTTGAAGCAAAGGACAAAACAATAAAAATTTTAATAAATTCCCCATGTTAAAAGAGTTGTTTGTTAAGGATAATACCGCAATCCCCTCATCTAGAGCGCGTTTTTAATTTAGCTAATGCCGTATTAACTGTCAATCGTTCCTGTCTATCAGATAAAAAATTTGAAAAACAATTGTTAAAATTATTACCAAAATTTTTTTGTAAATAAAAATATCTTTTTATTCATTATATTATATTGTAATTATAATTATATTATCAAAAAAAACTATATTATTTTTTAACATGGCTAATATATTGTGTTAAAATATATAAGACATTTATTTATATTACGTTGAACGCGAACGCGTTTGATTTTTTTAGAAGTGTTTACAGCACTCGTTATATGTTATATAGCGTGGCGTCTAGTTTCTATGAAAAAAATCAAATATTTTTATTTTACATAAAAAATTTAACATAAAATTGATAAATTTAGATATATTTTAAAAAGTTTCCAACCCAACCCGACTTGGCAGCAATTTTTTATAAAAATATTTAGCCCCACAAAGCCCGAACTCGATTTTTTAAAAATAAATAGGCCCTATCTCTAGTATTATACTATATGCAACACTCTCGTTAAACAGTTATAATTATAAATTTGATGAAAATTATTTTATTTTTAAATTTCCGAAGAAAAGGAAGCTTTTCAACAAATTTTTAATCTTTTTTTTACAGTTCGAAAAATAAATAAAAAATATTTGTTTTTAATTATAATGTTAAAAACTCGTATCGTATTATCAAAAAAATATTCGTAATAGCATCATCATCGCTTCATTCGTATTATAATTATATAAATATAATAACCATATTAAAACTGAAACAGAATATAAAAATCAAACACATGCTTAAAACATGATATAATACATAATATTATATGTTTAATCTAGTGATTTGTTGCAATTATCTATTAAATTATATTATTTCTTTATTTGAAATTTTTAAATCAAAATAGAAATCCTATCTGTTTTTGCGTTTTAAAATAATTTCCGGTAGGATTAAAATAAAAGACCGGTCGACGGGCCAACGAAACTTTCTTAAAATGTGTTTTAGCTTGCACAAGCTTAATAAATTGGTATCGCTATGCTATGCCTCATCCTAGTTCAGAATGAGGTGTGAAATTTCTAGCAGGGTTTTTTAATAAAAAAGCATTTTTTTCTCCTGACTATTCAGATCAGAAGTCAAAATATATAAAATCAATTTACACTTTTTATATATTTTAAATTTAAATTAAATTATCTGAAGTTTTTATTTTCAACATTTTCTTTTAACTTCAATTCAAGTTTTTAAAAGTATATGTGTTATTTTAATTATTTTTACAAACAAAATATTTTTATCTCAACAATGAGTATTATTTTTAATTTAATCAACATGTTTATTAAATCGTCACAAGTCACAACAACACTGAAAAATAATAAATAATAATTCAAAAATATAAAAAAACGCATATTATTAATTAAGGATAATTTATGTTATATGTGAAGTGAATTTAACCGATTCCAATCAAAAGTATTTTAAATGGAAAGAAGATTAATGTATAATAAAATAAAAAACATAGCTTTAATTATTAATTAGATTAGAATGTATAATAATATTTAATTTAAGATTAGTAAATGATATTTACTTTTTCTTACTTTTCATTTATTTCAACCCCGGGTTTGTGCTCGGCGTTCATGCTCAGAGCTGGTTTGGTCGATTTTTAGACCCAAACAAATATTTAAATGGAAAGAAGATTAATGTATAATAAAATAAAAAACATAGCTTTAATTATTAATTAGATTAGAATGTACAATAATATTTAATTTAAGATTATAAAATGATATTTATTTTTTCTTACTTTTCATTTATTTCAACCCCGGGTCTGTGTTCGGCGTTCATGCTCAGAGCTGGTTTGGTCGATTTTTAGACCCAAACCCCGGGTCTGGGTTTTCACAACCAACTAATTAACAACACTAGTACCCTGAATGGGTAGATATATGTTAATTTTCTTATCAAAAACTAAATATAAATTCAAAAGAAGGTTGTATTTAGACTATAGGGCGGCATAGAAATCGTATTTGCAGAAGGTTTTGAGCTGCATACACTTGCCTGATATCCCATTTATTTTCATCTGACAAATAGAATTTAATTAAGTTTATGAGCAATTAATAGGCCAGAGCTTCAGCTTATGGGCATATAGAGGGAAGACGGTGGGTCTATTTATAGCTCGGGTAAAAATATTGCTCGGTTAACCACACAATAAATCACTTTATCTAAATATCGCTCGGCTGAAAACTGTCGCTCGGCTAACCACTTAATAAATCATTTATTATTTAAATACGCTCGGCTAATTACATAATAAATTATCCATACAAAATATCGCTCGGCTATGTACTCGTTTATTTATGTATTATATTTTTAATCTAAGTTTTTATAAATAAAATAAATTTTATACAGTATAAAATATTATTTTTAAATATTTTAGCTTCCATACTTTTATAAAATTAAACTTTCGCATAACTGTTTTTTTATTTAAAGAAGTAAAAAAATAATTCAATCCGCTAGATGGCGTCTTTACATTTTTAAAAATTTTAATCATAAAATATAAAATAATATTTTTGAATGTGTCTAATAAATTTTGCCTTAATGCTATAAAAAAATCGTCGTAAATAATAATATTTCTAGAATATCAAATATATTTAATTTTTATCATAAAATAGAAAAATCGTAAATATCAAATATTTCTAGAATATCGAATATATTTAGTCAATATATTATATCAGAACTGTGAATTCTACTACTAAAGAATAATGATTTATAAAAATTAGTTAAAATAACAGAAACATCATTTTTTATAATTTTTTTATTTTTATTAGTATTGCCATAAAAATAATTTATCATCATAATTATAATATATTAATTTTTAATGATATCACCTGAACCGAACCTGAACCCCGTTTTTCAAAACACCTAACCAAACCCGAGAATTTTATTTGAAACCAGGTTCCATCGGGTTCATTGTATTGTTTAAAATCATATATTAAGATATTGGTATAATTGTAAAAATATTAATAATTTACTTGAAATTTTATAATATTTTCAAATTTCCATAATAAATTTTAAACAACTTTATAATTTATTCTCAAAGATTCCTATTGGATAATTTCTAACTTATTCTCAAAGATTAAAATATTATAAATGTAAAATAAATATACATAACAAAAAAAATAAAAGCAAAAAAATCGGATTGGTTTTTTACAAGTATCGGCCCGATCCGTAATTTTTGGAAAACGCTAAATATCGGTGCCGATCTTGGCACAGCCCTATTAATGATTTATGTTTTCCTCATAATTTCGTTAAATGAGCTCTGGTAACCTCTTCTTAATCAATGGTTAATAGGATTTTATATCTGGGGTCGAAATATAGTGGTGCATAAAGAATATTATTATTTAAATAAGTATCCTCTTTAAATCTCATATGCCCTAATATTTCATTGGTATCATGGTCTATTTTATTATAATACTACATTTTAAATATGAAATCTTTTATAAAGAATATTGTTATTTTTTAAAAATAAACAAAAATTATTTTTTTAAAAAAAAGTTTGAAACTCTGAACCCTAAATTTTAAAATAGGGTTTTGGTTCCGCGAAATGTCGAGTTGATTTTAAATAAAAAAAAGAAATAATTAGCGATAGGAAATAAGGCTAATTCCCGGAATGAAATAAATGATTTTTAGAAAAACTTAAAATAAAATATATCAATTGAAATAACAGTGACAGATGTCTCAAACAATTTATTTCAAATTAAAATCATTTATGACATATCACCAATTTTTTTGGAATTCAGATTAAATGGAGGATTATTAAGGTTAATATTCATTTACTCTTCATATTTTCTTTCCCTATGAAATGATTTATAAATTTTATTATGGTTTTTACTTTTCATTTAAATAAATATACATAGTTTGTTATAGGTCTTTGAACCCTCCTAAAAAAGGGTTCTAGTTTAGGTTGCAAAAAATCTCTGAAACAGGTATGGATTCAGGTTCGGTGCCCAGAATAATAAAGACTTGTAAAATTTAGTTAAAACAGATACATAATTTTACTTAAACCAAAAGGCTCAAAAAACCACATTAGCGACGTTCAAATTAAAGCAGAAAGGACTCGAAAAATATTTTTTATAAATTTTAAATCCCTATTTTTTCCCATTATTCTTCTGCTTATTTCCTATATTTCTAGAATATTGAATATATTTCGTCATTATATATAATTTTATTACCCTAAATTTATATTTAAATCTTCTCTGCCGAATAAATTATAATTTATTAACTCAATAATTATATTATAAATTTATTAAAGTTATTAATTTATCTGATTAATAAAAATTTAAAATTTAAAAAATTCTACTAATTTTTTACTAAAATATAGATATTGCTATTTTATAAAAATCGTAAATATTTTATTCATCATGATAGAATATGGCCAAATTTAAACACATTCAAAAATATTATTTTTATATTTTATGATTAAAAGTAAATTCAGAATGAGTATAATAATATAAAGCATTCAATTTTTTGCACCGAACAAAAGAAATTTATATATAAATATAACTATTTGTTGACCCTTTATTTTCTTAATTTTAAAGAGAAAAAAAATTATTATTATTACTATTATCCTTTTTATTTTTATTTTTTTTATTTATTTATTTTTTTAATTTAATACCCAAAACGCTAAAAATTAGGGAGATAAAAATAAAAGAATTAATGAGGGATCTATATTTGTTGATTTTATTAGTTTCTTGGAGATCCAAGGGGTCAGAGTTTCTGTTAGCAGGGAAAGAGGTAACGCAAGAGACATCCCAGACAAGTCTTTTTCCACAGTGCCAAGATGTCAAAGACATGCCATCGGGACGCTTACCATCCTCATTTAGGAGACCTAACGGCTCTAAGCTATTGGAGAAACCGGCCGAAATCAAAGATTTGCCGATTAACCTATTTATGTTGTCGTGTCTCAAGAAACGGCCACTGACTTTGAGACAAGAGAAACAATGTCTAGAGAATAGATCCACCTGCTTATTACATGCCGCACAGGTGTCAATAGAAAGGATAAGGCAACCTAGCCTATGACCAATGGCTATTTGGAACTCGTCGTTTGTGAGTAACGTTTCCTTTTTACCACTCGGAATCGCGTCTAGCCATTCATGGCCGTTAGAATTTTTTTTTGCGTTTCTGAGTAGTTGAAGGTTAGTTAGATCGGCAAACGAACAAAGTTTTTCAAAAGCACATTGAAGCATGGGGACCAGGAAGCTCTTTAGATGGCTGGAGACTGGCTGCCCGGATCCTTCAAGAACTAGAGTTAGCCAAGATTGTTTGGCAGAGTTTAAAAGGGGATCGTTCAACCCTATAAGCGAGGAGATGGAATCGTTAAATGAAATTCGAGACGAAAGAAAAGTGGCAATTGCCATTAAAGGGGGGGGGGGGAGAAAATCCAAGACCACCCCGGAAAGCGGGCATAGAGGCAAAGGACCAATTAAAGTCGGAAAAGTTTAGGACTAAAAGCGATTCGATAAAATGTTTAAATTTTAAATCGAAGGACTTCAGAAGGTGATCATATTGGAAAGCAGGAGAAGATTTAAAGATATGTAAGAATTTAGGTAAGAACAAGCATTTTTTTGTGAGGAAAAAGAACTGATGCTTGGGGAGATGAGGAAGAATCTTAAGAGAGTTAAAGAGAGATTGGATCAGATTGTCAAAAAAATTTTGACAGAAGGAAGATGAGGAGCCGATAGGAGAACCCAAAAGACAGAGATCCTCGTGCAAGATAATTTTAAAATCAGGGGGAGGGATAAAAACTACGTTGTTAAGAGAGGAGATTTCGCATTTCTTCCTATTAAGGGAAAGACCAATTTTAGAGGCTTCTATCTCAACGTACTCGATGGCCGACAAAACATTGGGTAAAGATCCGCCAAACGAGCCATCGTCGAGATACCATAGATTTAGATCTAAATTGAAATCTGGTTTCAAATTTTTTATAAAGTCCTGAATACCTAATGTAAAGAGCAAGGGACCTAGTGGATCACCTTGCTGGATCCCCTCTTCAGAGAATATGAAAAATTTCCCGAATTTAAGCAACGAGGGAAAACCGTAGCAAGAATTAAGCCAATATTTAGGAAAATGTTGTAGGAAGGAGGGTAGGAATGAGCTCCTATGAATGCTATTGAAGGCATTTCTGTAATCTAACTTACAGAAAACCTTCTCAGCCTCAGTATTTATAAAAATACGAGCTACATGTGAGGCCACTTCACATCCGCCTCTGACTCCAAATCCTAACTGAGCGGGAAAAAGGAGGGAACTGGCCTTAGAACGGATCCTATTGACTATGACCTTGGCTACTAATCTACGAAAAAACGATCCTATGGCTATTGGTCTAACACCACCATCCGGTTTGGTTAAGGAAACAAGACGAGCACCAAAAAGGATGGGGCGGATATCAAGAGGAACTTCGCATATGAGGATATTATTACAAAGTTCGGTTACTGATTTAAGCAAAGGGTCAATGAAACCACTATCAGTGCAACGGATTAGATCAACAAAGAACCCTGGTCTGAAACCGTCTAATCCACCTGTCGTCCCTTTCTTAAAGGACTTCAAGCACTTGAGAATTTCATCGCAGGAAAAGGGAGCAGGAGAAGAGCCGAGAGGGTGAATGTTAAATGGGGAAGCAGGTGGATGCTTCTCGAGAAGCTGTTGAAAAATAGAAGCATTGATAGGAGAAATGGTATCATCAGAAGTTAGAATACGGGCAGCACCACTGATATCACCAAGATCTAATTTTTCAGAGATCAATTTACAGCGGAAAGAGTTAGGATTTAAAGAAATAGAAGGGGTGAAATCATCAATAATGGAATTTCCAAAATTGGACACTTTCTCCTTAATTGAGGCAGATAAATTATTTATTCTATTTTTAGGCTTAGCTAGAACTCGAAAACAAAAACTGATCAAGTCTAACCATAAAGGGGTTGAGGAGAAATCTGAATTCAAATTATTTATAAGAGATGTGAGGAATTTTGAAATCGACTCTCGGGCAGCTATGGGGATCCTAGATAAAACTGGGGGTTTAAGGGAAATAAGGAATAAATCAACAGAATTTGGGGAACGACAATCAGGACTGGGGTCGTACGAGTGGGGAGATCTAATAAAAAGATTTGGGAGAGAAGGGAGGGGGAATTCTCGGGAATTAAGGCAGGAGGGTGAACCATGTTTCCTAAAAGTGCCATTCAAAGTAAGTGAAATTATTTTTAAGCACACATGGCAACAAGCGTTTACCATGATGTAACTTTGGATATCAGCTTAGCTGAATATAATGATAGAAAAAAAAAATTGTTTGACAAAAGTTAAAAGAATACTAAAATGCTGGTAGAGAGAATCATAGGATAATTTGAGTCTTAGGGTATATAAAAAAATTAAAAAAAATAATAAATTAACTTATTGTATAAATGAACGAGAGGATTAACTTTGTTCAAAAAAATAATAGCATATGAAAAGAAAATTTATGATTATGGGAAAAAGAAATAAATAAATAAATGTATAATATAAGAGTTAAATTAGTTCAAAATATCTATATGATTTAAAAAGGTTGGGTATATGATAGAATGATTTATTGGTAAATTCCCAACAATGTTATTCGAAATATATAATTTAAATTTAAAAAAAAAAGAAGTTTGTTAAAGCAATTATGATAAGCAATTATGGTATATTAAAAATGTGAGTTAGTAGTATCTAGATTCATGAATATTAGGGGTTATAAGATTGAGTAATGTTTAAAATAAAGATTTACCTTTAAAATATTATAATAAAAATAAAATTAACTGATTACGAAGAAGGAATCTGAATGTTCAAAATATTGACAAAAAAAATAAATATTAAGATCTGTGGGCCTTAATTGGAAACATGTCTAGGAGTATTTGTTTGATGATGTTGTAAAAAATTTGCATGAAATATTTTGAATGGGCAAGATTGTGGAAATTTTGTATGATAGGTAGTATTGTAGAGATTCAATATATTTAGCTTTGGCTATTGCATATACATCATCAGATTTTGCATGACATATTTTGAATGGACATGATTGTGGGAATTTTGTATGATGGGTAGTATTATAGGATTCAATATATTTTTGCTTTGGCTATTTCATATACATCAAAAGATGTGGTAGGCTTATCAATCAGTTTGTGGATAAGATGAAGGGATCTGAAGGTTAAAGATATTGGTATACCTAAATGTAAGGTTAAGTATGCCTTAAGTGGAAACATATATTGGAGTATTTATTGGAGCATGCTCTATTTGCATGAAATATTTATAAGGTTCTGTGGGCATTAATTGGAAGCATATTGGAGAATTTATTAGAGGATGCAGAATTTGTTTGAAATATTTTGAATGGACTTAAACTATTTCATATACTTCATAAGATGTGGATAATATTGAGGAGATTCAATATATTTTGGCTTTGGCTATATACAAGATAAGATGTGGTAGGTTTATCAATCAGTTGGTAATTAAGGTGAAGGAATTACAATGGTAAGCTAGGCCTTGAAAGAGAGCGAGCAATCAGGTGTTATATATATGATTTCTAATGATCGTCAATAGGGTCAGGTACTCAATGGAATCAGGCATACGATCTATATAACAACAATTTCGATGGATAGATGTATAAAAAAAATTATAAAATTTTTTTAAAATATAAAGACGCCATCTAGCAGATTGAATATTATTTTTTTACTTATATAAATAAAAAAAAGTTATGAGTAAGTTTAATTTTATAAAAATATTGAAGCTAAAGTATCTAAAAGATAATTTTTTGTCCAAAATTTATTTTATTTATAAATACTAATTAATTCTCAATTAATATTAGGTAAGTGAAAGCCCACTGTAAACGAGTACTTATAGCCGAGCGATATTTAGTAATAAATAATTTATTATGTAATTAGCCGAGCATGTTTAAATAATAAATGATTTATTATGTGGTTACCCGAGCGACATTTTCCAAGCGATATTTAGTATGGATGATTTATTGTGTGGTTAGCCGAGCGATAAATAGACCCACCCACTTGGATATTCCATTTGTTTTCATCTGACAAATAAAATTCAATTAAGTTTATGAGCAATTATGGGCAAATAGAGGGAAGAGGATTAAAACCTCCCCCAAGTCATAAATGTTTATATACATTGGAGACCTGCAGAGGAACCATTTTCATGCCCGGCCCGGATTTTTTTAAAATATATTTTATTTATTTATTTTTAATTTTAATAGTTAATATATTGATATTTGGTTTTAAAATTTAAATTCTGGTGAATTACATTTTATCAATATACATGATAAAATATTTATACTATACTTCAAATATATTAAATTAATTGAAATTAATGATGGTCATTTTTTTTATATACATATTAATTTCCTTTTTTATTAAATGGAAAATGATGATATGATCTGTTTATCCAGCATGATTAATTGGTGCTTGGTTGATTAATCCTATATCATTGAATCTATATTATTGTCTATTTTATTTGAAACACGAAGTAAATATTATTAAAAAATAGATTTTTCAAAAATAATGAGCACGGAATGTAATTCTAGTGAATTATTCTATAGTCTCATTATTAGACCGCAAAATAAAACGAACTAACTTTTATAGGGTGAAGCGTCAAATTTACTACTAGGGAAGCAATTGAAAAACATTTTAATTTTTATTAGTAAATAGAACAAATTAAGATTTATAAATAAGATGAATTCGTCTTTGTTTTTGAGTAAAATTTTAATTGATATTTTGCACATCGAATATCTATATATTTTCCATTTGATCAACGCCAAATGATTTTAATTGAATCATTGACTGAAAGCGGTTAATTCTTCATGCTGTAAAACACCCATCAAAAAACTATTCATATCGAAAATCCTTTATATATTTTTCCTTTGGGAATAATAGACATGACCGACAATATAGAGCATTAGAAAATTTTTCATATTTTTCATATTTATCGATGGAAAAATTATGAATGCAAGTTTTGATTTGTTTTTTCAAGTTTTATAAAATTGGTTTTGGGTTTCCTTAGTGTTGTAGTACAACACGAATTTATTTTAATTGTTAATCAAAAGTAAAAATTTTATTATCATATTATCGGACATAAAAATAAAAAAAACTAAAATCAAATATTTGATCAATACAATTTATTTTTCCGAATAGTCCCCATATTTATTAAATGATAATAAACAAATATTAATTTCCATCATGCCCATCTCGAAAACTGGCTAGAACCAGTTTTGAGGATGAAATTAAAACAGGGTGGTATAAGTGAACATAGAAAAAAGTGAATGGTAATATACGAGTATGGTATAAACAAAGAGAAAAATATAAATGATAAACAAGTTATCGTTTGAAAACACAACACTTTTCAATAATCAATTTCTTCAAATCAATATTTATTGATCTAAATGATAATTAATAAATTTTGAATAATACAATTATTAGATATATTAAATGAATTATTTTTATTGCATTTAAAAAAGAAGAAATTTTTTATTTAAGTTTTTTCATTCTTTTTTATTTATAAAAAAAATAAGCATTTACTTATTTGCTTCCTCATTTTAAACTTTAAATTACAGAATACATTTATATGATTTTCATTTAATTTATTAACAATTAAGCAATAATATTTGGTTCCCTCATGTATATTTTTTTAACGTAGTAAAAATACTATTTAATATTCATTTTTTTAAATGAAATTAGTATTTTTTTTAACATAGTATAAAGATTATATTAATTATTTAAGAATAATTTCAAGGGAAGTAATGCGCCCCTTGCTTCTATGTACGCTTCGTTACTGTTCTATAGTCTTCTAATGAGTTTCAGATTTAGTAAAAACAATTTTGTTACTGTTTTATTAATGATCACTGGTTACGTAGCAAACCATTTGTGGTAAGATGGCATATTTAAAATTTAAATCTAAATATATAAAATATTTCATTTTTATTGTTTGAAAACGATACAATAATCTTAACAATGGCATACTGGTATAACAAGAATGCATGACTTTTGGAAGTTTTTTTGCTACTCTAATAAAACTTTTGCAGCAAATATAAATAATACAATATCAGCATTTATTTACCCTATATTTTTAAATTTTTATCCTATTTTTAAGTTGATATTTCAATAACTGTAATGTTGTTATAATTTCGGAAGATTATATTTTGCACTTTTTGTCTAGTGAATGAACAAAAAGATTATAATTATTCTTATACAAATTTATAATTTATCAGAATGAAAATATTAATAATTCCAATCAATTTAATAAAAATTTTAAGCAGGGATGCGAACCCGGCAAAATTTTTGCCCGGATTCGGTTCGGGTTCGGTTTAAGATTAAAAAAAATATGTGGTTCGGTTCGGGTTCAGGGAAATATTTTTGATCCCGGGTTTAGTTCCGGGTTTAAGAATTTTTGAATAGATAAAAAAAAATATATTCTATATTTAAATCATAATTAAAAAACTAGACATAAATTTGCTATAGAAAAATAAATTTTTTATTTTATTTATAGGGAAAATATAGTTAAAAATACAAAGCATAATAATGTATAGATTTAAAAAATTTTATTTAGACGTATTTCTTTAAATTAACAATATCCAATATAATAATTTTTACTTTGACTTGTTCACTCATTTTCCTCTAATTAATAATCTTTGAGAAAAAGTTAAAAATTAAAAATAAATGGCGTAAATGAATTTAATTGTTCAAAATTTATATAGGAATTTTTGAGAACAAATTTAAAAATGGAGTAAATTAATTAAGTTGTTTAAAATTTATTAACACTTCACTTAATTGGAAATTTGAAAATATTATAAAATGTCAAGTAAATTATTAATAATTGTATTTACAATTATACAAATATATTATATTCATTTAAACAATACACTGAACCCGGTTGAACCCGTTCAAATAAAATTCCTGGGTACGGTTCGGGGTTTTGAAAATATTATAAACGGGGATGAGGTTTGGTTCGGGTTTAAATTTTTTTCCCCAAAACCCTGGTTTTATTCTCCGGGTTCAGGTTCGGTTCGAACCCCTGAGTTTAAGGCTAAGTATGAATATTTTTATCAAGTAAAGTAAAACAACCAAAAATCAAAGATAAATGTCATTTCAAATATTATAAATAACGATTTATTATTTTGAATAAGAATTTTCCTTTTTTAATTGAAAAGAACTTTTCCTTTTTGATCGGATCTTTTCCTTATTTGTTTGCTCTTTTGATCCTACCATTTTTGAAACTTTGGAATTTCAATTTTTGATAGAAAAATTTCCATTTACCCAACCTTTTCATTTAGACAGGGTCATTTCCTTTTTATCGGACTTTATGTAGATAAATTAAATGATCCAAAAGATAAGGTAGGTATTGTATAAATTGTTGGAATATATTTTCGGTAAAATCGTATACTATAAATTAAAAAAACGCGCTCTATAAATGGTTTAAAAATGAAAAAAATAATATTTTAACGGAAAACATCATTAATATGTTAATGTCAATGATCATTTATAGTTTGGTTTTAGTGACCTAAATAAGTTAGTTTTATAAATGAATTCCTATTAACAATTTATTTATCTAATAAGCTAACCTTAATGATCATTTATACATTGTTTTTTTAGTGACTAAATAAGTTGGTTTTATAATTATATTTTCTATAGCAATTAATTTTTTTCTTACATCAACCTATAAAATTTATATAAATATTTTAAAATAAAATTGCAAAGAACATGCATGCGTTATAAATGTTTGAATAGATTTAATGTTTCTATATAAGTTAAGATGGTTTAAAAACATAGTTTAGAACCGAAAAATAGATAACAGCAGGTAACTATTTGGAAAAATGAGTTTTTCTATTTTCTCAATCATCATTAGAATCAGTAATTTTTTCGTTTAGTGATTGCTGTTGCTGATGAAGTAGTTGATCATTTATTAAATCAAATTGTTTTATAATATCAATATGAGGCTGAAAGGCATGGTTATAACATGAATTGATCAGAAAATCGGTCATTTTCAAATATAAATGTTCTCTTACATTGTGGAGCTCGTGATTTTCATCGGGATATACCTGAATTTTAATTAGTAATATTTGTTTCAAATCGGCATTAATATAATATAAGGTTTCCCATTTAAAAAAAATTAAAAAAGTCTGATCATAAAAAGGGAAAGTGTCAGTGAAAAAAAAGAAAAATAGTTATTAATAAATTTTTGTATATTTTGTTATTCTGAAATGTCATGTTTTTAGCATTATTATATTGGTTATTTAAATTTTTTTTTCTTGTCTCATTTTTGCGATATTTTTTATTTTTAATTTATACGCTTAAAAAGATAACAAAATTAAGACTGGGTGTAATTTTTTTTCAAAATTCTGGCCAGTCTAAATTTATTTCCCTTAATTGTAAAGTGTTAAAAAAGAATGATTTAAAATGATTAAAAAAAATAGAGAATTGAATAAAGATGACGGGAAAAATCGAGAAATTATTTAAATAAAATTAAAAATAATAGAAAAAATGAATTTAAAAAATTAAGAAAATTGTAAAAGATGACCAAAAAAGATGAAAATTGTTTAAAAAAATATTATTTTTCAGCCCAAATCCTGTCTCTTGTATGTCTCCGGACTATATATAGTAATTTACTTATCACTTTTTTTAAAAGTATATCGATAAATTTATTTTCCGAATTTGTAATGGGAATTAAGATGAAAAAAAGGGAAGGATTAAAAATGGCAAATGAAATAGAGAATTGAAAAAAGATGACAAGGAAAATAAATATTTAGAGGAAAACAAAAAAATAGTAAAAAAAATAGTAAAAAAAATATGAAAAAAAAAATTAAGAAAAAAAATGATTAATGACATCGAATTAAAGAGATATCGCAAAAAGTAAGGGGGGAAATATGGAAAAAAATTAAAAATGAATATTTGAAAAAAAAATGCCAAAGAAATTACATCTCAAGATAATTTGAGAAAAAAGGTAATAAATAACCTTTTTTTTATTGAACCTCTTTTTCGCGTGGTTCCTTTTTTTAGTAGAACCATTTCCTTTTTTGAATGGGAAGCCCTATAATATTAAATCATTCATAAATATAGCGTAAAATATTAAATCCGTATTTATATTCTATAATAAACAAAAACTATAATTAAATTAACCATTAAATCGAACATTATATTTTTCTCAACTAATGACTTGATCATTTGAGCGGTGTGTTGAAAATGTACATTATCTACAAAATTATTCCAATAAATTAATAAAAATAAACAATTATAAACCATCACCTGTCCCATGGATTAATAAAAATTTATGAAATTTTATATTTTCAACTTTGTCTAAAATACTAGATAATTGGTATGTATCTATGTTATCTGATAGAGATCCCATATATTTTTCACTATAAGCTGAATCTATAAATATTAATATATATTTTACATAAAAATTGCACTATTTATTTGAGAAAATACAAATTTAGGAATCTCCTCCATATAAAATATTACGTGTTATTACCCCCTTAGAATAAATAAATGTTTTGGTCAAAATCACGAAAATGGAAAAAAATCACGAAAATGTAAAAAAAAAATAATAGTTTTGGTTAAAACTTCCAATTTCTGAGCAAAGATTGCAATACGATAATTGAGCATCTAATAAATATGAATATATATTTACATATTTAGAATCCTGATTAAATTTGCAATTTAATAATTATACATCGATATATAATATTTACTATATATATATTTTAAAAACTTAACAAAAATATTTTTAATTAATTTGAAAAATTTTATTTTTAAATTAAATATTATATATCGATATATATGATAAAATTGCAAATTTAATGAGAAGTCTAAACATGTAAATATATATTTATTAATTAGAGATGCTCTATCCAATTAAAATCTTTGCTCAGCAAGTGGAAGTTTTTATCAACAATATCATTTTTTTTACATTTTCGTGATTTTGGCAACATATTTTCCATATTTTGTTTGGATAACATTATCTATATTTCTAGTTTAGGGTATAACCAAAATATTATTATATACTGGAGATTGGGGTAAAGCAATTGATGGGGTAACAATGTTAACGTGAATAAAAGATATTTTTATATGTAACGTTCATCTTTTGGCAATTGGTGTCTAAAGTTTAGTGAAAACAAATTTTATTATCATAAATATTAAATTTTTTTTGTATATTAAATTTTTTTTATTTTAGGGGTTTTTTTAATATTGAAAAAATAAAACAAAGGGTCATATAATAAACAAACCACGATTATAAAGATATAACGCATATAGATGTTAGCGTCAATGTATTTTATCTGGCAATGTGTTATTTTTTCAACTTTAAATCATTTTTTAAGCGCATTTTTTAAAATTTAAAACTGATTTTATCGGAAATATATTCCAACATGTTTAGAATACCTATTTTATAAATTGTGGACAATTTTTGTAAAAATATCTATGAAAAAATTAATATAAATTATAATAAGTTCAAAACTTTATAGCAAATTTGTCTAAAATTCATAGGTTAGATATTCCAAATGTGATGGAATCATTTCTGGTAAAATCAGATTTTATTTTAGCCCTAAAAAATTGATTTTAAAGTTTAAAAAAATAACAAATTGCCGGAAAAAATGCATTGATGCTATACATTTAAAAATACGAATCAAATAAAATATTTGCAATATAGTTATTCAATTCGTATTTTCGAATCAAATAATTATATCATTCACATTCTTACGAATTGAATAATTCATTATTAATATTTACGAATAATAAAAACATTAACGATTTAATTCATTGAATATTCAATTCGAAAATTAAATTCCTAAAAAATATTTTCAAAAATGAAATAATCTTCAAAATTTATAAAAATAAATATTTGAATATTTTTGTTAAAAAAATTTGTGATTTCATGAAAGATTTATTCTGCATGAAAATTATAAAATATTTACTTGTAAATTTTTTTTACTAAACATATTTGGAATTTTTGGAAAAATTTGATCAAAAATCTATCTTCTTGAAAAAACATAAATTTTATTAAAATTTGAAATGTGATTCATGAATTTAAAAAGTGATTTAGAGATGTGGAAATAAAGTTAAAAAATATAATTATTTATAAGGAACATGTTAAATACTTGCAAATAAATTTAAATATCTATGAATAAGTTTTATAATTTATCTATAGTTACAAATATTCACGAAATTTTGAATAATGCTAAAAATATCAAATTATACATATAATTCGATTTATTAAGTGATAAAAAATTATTCTTAGAACAATATTTTTTTCTAATTCGTATTCGATTTAAGGTATAATTGGCGCAAAATTACATTAAAAAAACAATTAAATTAGGTAATAACAAAGGTTGGATCTGCTTACTTGCATTTATATATGAAACCAGATCAGCAATGTAATTACTTTGATGATTAGTATCCTAATGGTTTGTTTAAAATAGAAGGCTTCATTACAATCGCCAAATAATTGACTTAATTTTCTCACTAATATAATGTGTTGGAAGGAATTCTTCATCAAAAACTAAAATTACGTTAAAAATGTCTGAATATTTATTTATTTTTAAGATTTTTCCCGAACAAATTGATGAGACATTTCTGTTGGATCGAGCCAAATGATGCATGTGTAATCCCAAGCAACTGGAGGACCAAGGATAGGCTGATATTATCAGGTGTTCTGTTGTTGCTTGAGCCTAAATATTTGGGTTCTAGGATATTTGGGATATTGGCCCTTTTAAGAGCTTTTGAGATAGTTATTTATGTTTGTATGCAGTGGGAAGTCACTTTTGGAATATCTATATCTTAAATGATGGTGTTTTTTGGAATCAGGGTAAAGAACAATTAATTCACTTGAAAGTAAGCAATATATCACACCTGAGGCGAAGCGAAATAGCTCTACGAAGTTCTTCATTAGTGAGAAGAACGCCGAAAGTTTTCGAAATTTTTGCTTGAATAGTCAACAGCGATTCGTAGCCCGATTTAGAATTTGGAATAGATTGGCTGGGACATTGTTCCAATAAATCACTCGATAAGAAGGAATCAATAGAGTAAAACATTATGGGAATATCCCAGGAATTCTGAAGGATGAATGTAAGTCTGTTAATGCCAGGTTGACAATTGCTCGCCAATTGTGAATAGCGCTTTTTAGGCAGCATGAGGTAGATATTATACATGAACTGCTCAATAATGAGGAGATAAAGGCAATAAGAGAGAGGGGGAAAAAATTTTGGAGGTCTAAGTTTTTAATATCTTTTAAAAAATGATTTTAAATAAAATTTCATATTTATATTCATTCATTTTTGTTAGTAGTTAAAAAATTTTATTAAGTTATGCCGTTTTAAATTTTATATAAAAATTTAAATAAAATAATATATTGATATTTATCTTATTATATTATCGGCGGGTGGCTTAGTGGGTTATGATGTAGGCTTGGAAACAGAAGATCCCAGGTTCAATCCTGGTGACATAAAAATTTTAAGGTTTTTTTTCGATGAATTATGTGTAAAGACATATGGTAAGATAAATTTCGGAGCTTAGAGATGACACCCCCGGTCACCGTCAGGCCTGGACAGCCGGGAAATGAACGAAACAAACAAAAATAGGAATATGAAAGCGCAGGGTGTAGACCTCTATCCTGTGAAAAATAAAATAAAGGTCAAAGCAAAGAAGACAAGGTTAGCTGTATTGGGACACTAGGTAAGACGAGAGAATTGGCAGAGAAAAGTTGATATAGCGTGCATACAAGAGACGAAATGGAAAGGTCAGAAGCCTTTAATGAATTAGAGATGGGTATAAATTGTATTATATGTCGGCATCATCCTCAGTCAAGATCTATCCTCCTCAGTGGTTATCTAATAAACTAATGAAAAAGAAACTCTGCATTGGTCAATCAATAATACACATTCCTTCAGTATATGCTCCTAAAATGGGCTGCAAAGAAGAAGATATAGATGACTTTGAATAAATGCGCATGTGGGAAAAGCAAGAGACAGCTACAAAAGGCATCATGGTGGTTTTGGATATGGAGAAAGAAATGATGAACATATACTGAAATTTGCGCACTTCGACCTTGTCTTAACCAACACCTACTATAGGAAAAAGGACAGTATTTAATAACATATGAAAGTGGTGCAAGGAAAACCCAGATATATTACATGCTTATCTCTCGCAGAAGATTAAAAGATGTAATAAATAGATTGCAAAGTCATCCCAGGAGAAGATATAGCCCGCAACTAGTCATGGATTTACACATCTCAAATAAATCCACTCAAAATAAGATAAAATTTGAACCATGCATCAAATGGGGTAAAATGACAGATGCATTTGCAATCAATACAAACATGAAACTCACAAGTTAGTGAAAAAAGGAAGACAGACACTGCCAAATCGACTTTAGGCTTGACAAGGGGAGTGGCATGTATGAAGAACTACATACCAAAGAATGGCAAAATAAAATATGCCAAACAGCGAGAAAAGAATTCTAGGGATATAAACGGAGCTCCGTAATTAATCAAAAATAAAGGTGGGAGATTGATAATAAAGGGAAAAGAAATAATGAATAGGAAAGAATATTTTCAGAAGCAACACTCCCCATGTCAAACATAAAACTAATGTCACACTATCTTAAAATCGAAATAGGAGAGACTTAATTTGGCGTTATGCCTGGAAGATCAACAACTGATGCAATCTTCGCAATTAGCAAATGAGCGAAAAATACAGGGAGAACAAAAAGCTACACATGGTCTTTCTTGATTTAGAAAAGGCCTTCGATAGAATCCCAAAGGGTGCTATGCCACAAATTCCTGAAAAATATATAAGAATAATACAGGATATGTGTATGGGCCATACAACAATGGTCCGTAGCACAACAGGTACTTCAGCTTCAATAATAGCCGAGGGAGTTCATCAAGGATCGGCTCTCACACTTCTCTTCATTACAGTAATAGATGTATTATCACAGTCTCCTCAAACAGTCCCGTGGAATATGATATTTGCAGATGATATTGTGATACTTGCCGAATCCAAGTGGTGAGATAGGAGGAGATGAAACAGGTGAATGGCAGATATCAGCAATTGAAAGCTGCAAATATTTGGGCTCCACTATACAAACAAACGGCACAATATAGAAAGAGATAAAGTAAAATTAATCAAGGGTGGTTAGTGCTTTGACAAAATTGAAGGGAAAAATTTACAGTTCCATAGTTATATAAAGTTAGGAAACATGGCCAACCAAAGAATCATACGAGAGAAGTCTACAAACTATGGAGATGAGAATGCTGAGGATGTTTGCTGGGGTAACAAAAAGGATAAAGTGCGCAGTAGTATAAATTAGATAAAAGAGATAGTATGATAAAATAAAGTGGGGAGAGATATTGAAGGAGCTTACCACCAGAAAAGGTGAAAGCTAGAGAGGAAAAATTTTTTTATTTTATTATGTTATTTATTTACTTTCTTTTAAGGCAAAGCTTAAATAAAATATATTGATATTTGAAATCAAAATTCACAATTGATTTTCTTAAGTTAGCGGTTAAAAAAATAAGCTCATAAGTAATCTAAATAATATTTAAATTATTTATAAAAATAGTATCGTAAGGAGCCCCTCTAATTTATTTTGCGATTATAGAATTTTTTCGGGCAGTTGAAAAATCTAATGATTCCACTGTTGATATATGTCAGAAAATTATTCAATTGTTATTTTGTCTCAAATCGTAGAAAGGGTTGTATTTATGCATAAGAAATAACTACATTTTTATAACATCTCTCTACATAAAAAAAATATATAACTTAAGTAAATAATATTTTTTTCTACACTGTCATATATAAGGGGAAATATGTACTTCTGAGAATCTATATTTTGTTCCCACGAAGTTTACAATAACATTTTTCAAATAAATTTCATTTTTTAAAATTCTATACAAAATTACATAAAATAAAACGGATTATTTAAAAAATAATATTTTTATAATGAATTTACCATAATATCGCCAGTCAGTAACAGGTGCAACAGCGATCCCACATTTTATAAGTCCCAAACTATCTTGTTTTGCTAAAATTGAGGATGTTAAGAAGGCTCCATATGACTTATAAAAAAATTAAATTATAAAATATATTAGTTCATAACCCTACAAGGATATGGGGGCCCGTTTATAGCCGGAGTCCAATGGTTAAATTTCACCCGGGTAAAAAAAATTTTAAAAATAGGTAATAAAAATTATCAATATTTTTTATATTTTTTAAAATTTATCCAGATAGTGTCAGTCTCAGTATGATTTTCAACGAAGATATCTGTGTCTTATTTCTTATATCAAATTAAAATTATATAAAACAAGAGAAAGTTACTAACCCAAGCCATTTCATGTATACTAAAAATGGTAATATCAGAAATTAGGCCAGACATAGTTTAAAACAATTCAAAAATAAAATATTATAATCATATATAAAAAAAATTACTTTCTTAACTTTAAATTTTTTTTTATAAGGCATAAAATATTTTAATCACCTACGCTTAGTTAATTATTAACATAATATAATATTACATTTACATAAATATATTTTATGTGTTTTTAATCTTTATTTAGTAACCTAGTTTCTTTATACATAAAGTGTCCATTTGCAATATATTGAAAAAAAACACTATGAATTTGGAAAATGAGTAAAATGAAAGTTATAAAACTGAGCCACATAATGAACTGAAGAAACCACAGGATTACTTGGCCGTTGGTGTAGAAAGGCTAATACAAATAACATTTTGTTCTTTGCAGCTAAAGGTATTTGGTCAAAAGATGTATATACAAATATATATACTAATTATCATGGGTGCGACATTCAAAGGTTCAATTTGCAGCCCATTTTTCATCAAAGACGTTTTGGGTATTTCTTTCAAATTATTAAAATCATGTAATATATTTCCTCCTTATTAAACTTAATAATAAAGATTATTTTTGTAATAGTTTCAAAAAAATATACAACTCCATTTGCTAATAACGCTTCTTGACTTTTATGGATAAAATTATATAATAAGAATATTTAAGCTATTCAAGATTATATTATCAAATCGAGCAAAAAAAAGTTATGACATTTGAGTTTTATCAAAATATATTCCAATCATTTATTCAAACCAAATATGCTTGGAAAAATATATTTAATTACAGATCTCGAATAATTTTTGTAAAATTTTTTGATATATAACTTAATTTTGTTAATTTAGTATCATCTTCTATCCTACTCGACTTTGTGTAAGAGTAAAAACATGTTTTCTAAAAAAAATATAATAGGTAGTCTAGAATAATTTACAGTATAAAAGAAAATTTATAATGTTTTCTTCTTTATTGAAAATGCGACATTTAAATTAATTTAAAAGCTTAATTTACAGTTACAAATATTACAAATTGAATACTATAATCCTCTGCCAACGAAATGTAATAGGGTAAAACCTATGATGATTAATTTTTATTACTAAAAACTATTCTTATTTACTTTTTTAAATATCTTTTAACGTTGACTCCCATAATTTTTGAGCTCATAATTTTAGAACAATAATAAATGGCCTCATGTCAAAAGATACAAAATATAATAATCTAGTTTTTAATAGAAAAAATAATTCCAGGCCTTAGTCTAAAACCTTACTAAAAGATTAAATATAAAAAATCAACATAACAAAAATTAGATTTAAAAAAAGAAATTTTGAAGAAAATCATCAGAAAATTTTAATGATTTCTTTTTAAAGAAGAGAGATTTTTGATCACATTTTTCCTAAGAATGTCAAAATCTTTTGTAATTCTTATGTCATATATGGGAAAAATTTAAAAAAATTAAAATAATACTATTAAAAATATGTATTACCCATCCCCATATGGCTATATTATGAGAGTCAATGAGAGGAAATTTCTTTAGAATATGCCTATAATAATTAAATGATCCAGATAATTAAGAAATAATTAATTAAAATTTATTTCTCTTCTTGATATGAATTATAAAAACATATTTTAAATATTTTTTTATAATAATGATCTTATTACTTATTCTTATTGATAAAATAACAATCTTTGGTAAATAAGGAATCCGTTAAATTATATTTATTTACTTTATGCCAAAAATCTGATCCATAGAGTCTTTGTCACCTAAGCGTTTATAAACTCCCACCATATAGCTCCTACCTTTATGAGCCGTTCCTCTTCCATCAATCATAGCTATAACAACATTATAATGACTACAAAGAAAAGTACTCCAAGAGATACTAAATTGTGAATCCACTATTTGACTTTGGGGTCCCCCGTATCTATATCAATTTATTTAAAAATTATTCTAAAAATAGAAATAATAACCAGGATATTAAAAATAAATGTAAATGATATTAATAATATATTTTTTAATAATTATTTAAGTATAATTGAATTTTTTATAAATTATAATTTTTTACATTTCTACCATTAGAGGATATTTCTTTAAACCATTTTCTTTAAAACTTGGAGGCAATAGTAATTTAGCAGGAAGTGCTAAAATAATTTCAAGTGATTTAATAATATTTTAATTTTATAAAGCAAAATTTGTAAAAAAAATTACATACTGTAATTTGCCAAAGAAATTTCCATATATATGGTTGAAGGCAAAGCTTTACCAAATATAATTTGCTTCATTTTAGTGTTGTTTAAAATTATGTAGATAGAATCTTTTACTGCTGTCGCATTATATTTTTTTGGGAATCGATTTGTATTCATAAGTTTATGACTCTTTTCATATGGGCTTATATTATAATGCTTTTTATATTCGTCTACATCTGCAATTAATTTATGCAAAGTCACAGTGGGTACGATTGGACCCAAACACCAAAAGAGTGCCCATGAATAATCAGCACTAAATAATGGTGAATAGAAATCGCAATTTTTAACCCCACTTGAGCAACTATAACAAGATTCAGCTAAATTTTAAAAATAAAATAAATAAATTTGGTTATATATAATATACTTTGATTAGAAGATGGCTTTGAATCAATCTTTAATGTGTAAATATACCTGGCACTCGATTTAAATGCAGGACTTACTATATAATACAAAATTCTATTTTTGATGTCAAATCCTGATAATTCTGTTACATCGTAATCCCCATTAGTCAAGTATTCAATACGAGCTTGTCCCATTTTCTGTGTCTTCAAAAATTATTATATACTTTAAGGATTATAAAAATTTTCAATGTGTATATATGTAGATCTAGGTACAAACTAGAACCAAAAAACTCTTAATGGACCTTATTTTAAACCAAATTCTAGTTATTTTTTTTTATTAAAAAACTCAGCGATATTTATTTAGTGGTAAAAACAAAATCTCGCCTCTGAATTTTGTTGAAATTTTATTAGTTACTATCTTAAAATAAAATATTTATCAAGAAGGATGCTAAAAGCAAAAATAAAGAGATATTAAGTAACAAAATATAAATGATTAATATGCAATCTTAAATATCATTCTTCTTATTGTTTAATTTAAAAAAGAATTGAATATGGGTTTTGAAATATATTATTAGAAGTAATTCTTGAAGTATATATATATTTGATGTAATTCTTGAAGTATGTTTTTGAAGTATAATTTTTTATTTTATTTCTTATATGATAGCATTTTTTTTGTATATTGAAATTCACAAAAAAATCCAAAATAATAAAATAAACATTTTACAAAAAATACAAAATAAACAATTTAATACAAACATTTATCAACAATCTAATTGGTTTCTTTCGTATTCTTTTCAGATATCAATCTTGACTTGTAGTTTCTAACTTTTGTGTAATACTTCCTTTAGCTTCTTGACTTGTATCATTTTCCTCCCTCTCCTTTAGGTTCATTTCATCGTTATTGTTTACTATCTCTGGTTCTCTCTTCTACTTCGGTTCTCACTTCTACTTCGTACTCTTCAGTTAATAATTTTAGTTTCTTTTTCTTAATTGATCAGTATGACATATAATCGTTTTACCCTTTATAATTACTTCATATCATAGTGATTCGAGTAAGTTTTTTAAAAATGGCCTTTTCCCATTTTTTTTCTTTATTATTGTAAATGCACGACCACACTTTTTTATTTATCTCAAATTTTTTGAGTGTAGTATTCTTACTTCTCTTTTTTGTTCCCCCGTTAGAATATTTGGTCTAACAATCATCTAGGTTTAATTTTTAGTATTATTTCTGCAGGACTTTTTTCATTTTCTGTCCCTGGTATATTCCGATAAAAATAGCCAAACTTGTTTCTAAATTTCCCCCGTTTCCTTTGAGGATGGTATGGACTTCCGTGCACTAATTTGTATTCCATTTTTTTCGCAAAAATCATTGAATTCTCTACTGAATTGTGGCCTGTTATCAGAAATGATTATTTTAGGAAATCCGAATCTGGCAAAGATATTTCTTAATATTTTTATAGTGCTTTCGTTGTAGTACTAGTCATGGGAACTATTTCTGGCCAGCAACTGTTAACATCTATCACTACCAACCAATAATAATTTTGAAATGGTCCAGTATAATCAATATGTACTCGGTGCCAGGCTTTTGGTTTGAATTGATGTTTTTTGAGGCATATCGTGTTGTTCCTGGCATCTCTACATTTTTCGAACCATGTTTCTATATCTTGGTTTATATTAGGCCATCACACGTATTGTCTTGCTCTCATTTTCATTTTTATCATTTCAATATGTCTTTGATGCATCATGTCTAATACGTTGTTTCGGTATTGTTTTGGTATTATTATTTTAGTTCTCCACAGTTAACAACTTCTCTCTGTTGTAGTTTCCTCTCTCCTTTGGCTATACTCCTTTAAACATGCATAGTTTATTGGCCATCCATCTATTGCATATCTTGTATACTTTAGAGAGTACATCATCTTGCATTGTTTTTCTTTCAATCTCACTTGCATTTAATGGTGTATTTTTCTCCCACCTATATTCAATCTAGTATTTCTTCTTTCGAATTGTGGTTCTGTATAGGTAATCGAGATAGCATATCAGCATTGGCTAGTTGTCGACTACTTTTGAGTTCTATTTCATATTGGCAACCTACTAATAATAAAGCCCATCTTTGTATTCTGACAGTAGATGTTGTTGGTATATCTTTTCTTGGATGTTTTTAATGTGAACATTTTTCATATATAAATTCTTTGAATTTTATAACCCCAAATATGATGGCAAGAGCTTCTTTTTCTATTTGGTTATAATTTTTCTAGGCTGCATTTAACTTTCTTGAGGCAATGCAATTGGTCTCTCCTTACCCCCTTCTATATGAAGGTGCACATAAATTTACCAGTATTTTATAAGTATACATTCTATTATTGTTAATAACTGTGATATTTTTTGTGATGATGTTAAACTTGGTTGTGTGTTTTTAAATTCTTTAAATAAGTCGTACCAATCTTTTGAAGTATATTTTGGAAGTATACATATCTTTTATTTTATTTCTTATGAAATTGCATTATTTGTGTTTCAGAAAAAAATCCAAAATAATAAAATAAACATTTTAAAAAATACAAAAATAAATTAACAATTTAATATATAACTGGTTACATTTTATTTTTGATTTAATTGTCAATATAAAAAAAATAATACAAAAAATTTAAAAGGATGATTAGACTTTCGAGCTGTTAAGTATCTTATAATTGAGAGAGGGATTTTTTTTTCAAAAAACTCAAATATTTACAAAAAACAACCTAAAATTCTAATTAATTTTCTTCTACTATGGAGGCGGGGGGTATGATACAAGATTGTCATTTAAATGATAGGGGTAAGAGAAAATAGAGGTGACGAATAGTTTTGTTAATTTATATTTGGATTCCCACTTTTTGCTAAATTCGATTCCCATTTCTTTGCTAAAAAATTTTTTTTTTTTGGGGGTGGGGGGGGGGGGGGTGGGGGGTGAGGGGAATAATCGCAATTTTTTTTGGATGGATGAGATAATATTGTCACTTTAGAAATGCCTAGCAAAATTTATTTTTAAATATATTATGTTATCAACAACTTACATTAATAGTAACACGAGCAATTTGATTATATTGATCTATTCCATGTCTTAAAGGTAGGATAGTTAAAATATTGATCATATTTTTACTCTTGTTTAAGCTTAATGAACTTAAATCGATCTGACTTTTATGCTTCAACTGGCTATTTAGATTGATCATTTTTTTAACATTAGGATGGAAAGAATTAAATTTGGCAAAAGTTTCATATTTGGATGAATGTAAATGAATGTCATAATGGAAATCCCTTTTATTGGCAATGCCCTCCAAAATCATATGCTCGTTATCTATCCAACCTGGCACCACATAAAATGATGCATCTCTTTTGAAAACTGATTTACATTGGCCAGTTTTAGTTTTACATAAAATTAGATGATTTCTTATCTGTTGACGATCCATTATTTCAATAATTAATGAGCCATCATCAATCCATAATAAATTTGTGAAATAATTTTGACTGATTGGTATTAATATTATTATTATGATTAGCAATAAATTATACTTTAAAATAGATGACTCATCAATAATTTTAAAATTTGTAGTTTTGTAGGAGCTATTTGTACCGTTTTTATTTCCTTTACTTCTTTTTCTTTTTTTCTCATTCACTCTATATAATTCGTTTATTCAAAAATCATAAGAAAAGAAACTTGTTTTAAAATGATTTAAATATTTATTAACGGTTGCCATGATTTTTTACTCTGCTAAAATACGAGCTAAGATAATTTATGATTTCTCACGATATTTTGGAGAAGAATTTATATTTTATAAAAACTGATTTTAAAATAAATTAATTAGTTTTTAATTTAAAATTATAACATATTTAAATATTAAAAATAAATAATTTAGAAGAACCTATTTGAGTTTAGTCATTAATTAGGAAATGATGATACTGTATAACATCGTTTAATGGAAATCATAGTAGCAAAAGAGATATTACTAAGGCTGGTCGAGCCCGAAAAGCAAACCATAAAAAACTACTTCATAAATAATATCTTATATTACTTATCTCTATAGGTTTATAATAGGTTAAAATTATTATAGGATTACTTTTTTCAATATTTTATTTTTTAAGGAAGAAATTTTTTGTGGATCGAGTGAGCCAGACTTGGAGAAGAGGTATCCTATACATGGGCCTGCTGAGGGAAACAAAAATTATATTGTTTTGAAAGTTAAATATTCTGTATAAATAATTATGACTATTATTATTTTAATGAATTATATTATCAAATCTTAATAAAATATATTAGAAATCGTCAAAATACTTAAAAACTTTAAAATGTCGATAAAAAAAATTTTCTCCTTTATGAATTACTTTGTCATTTAGATTATACCAAATTATCATTTTTAATTATAAAAGTTTTAAAATACGATTATTACAATTGTAACTTTAAATTATCACTGATATCATACCAAAAATTTAAATTATACATTTTAACTATTTTTGTCAAAAAAATAAAAAAATTTCAAAATAACGATTATGGCCAATGTCAAATTGTGAATTCAACATTATAGTTGAAATCATACCAAATATTTATTTAAAATATCCATAAGTAACTAACTTCGCCAAATTTTTTTTAAATTTTAAATGTCTGACAATATTTTGCGTTTTTTGCTTTGATTTTGTTTTATTTTGCTCTCTTTTTGCGTTATTTTGAGTGCTGTTCTGTTTTGCGTATTTTTATAAAATCTTTTCTCATGCCTATTTATGATTTTACCAATTTGCAGCGTTTTCTTTATTTTTCTGTAATTTTACATGTTTGAGGCTTTTTTGCCATTTTACACAATTTATTTATTATTTTAGGAATTATTTTTCATATTTAAAAAATTTATATAAATTTTAGGTCATTTTGCATGCTTACTTAATTTACTTAGTTTGTAATGCCGGTAAATTTTGATAGAATTATAAATGTTTTAACAAAAAATGGTCTCCGAAAAAAGGGAAAATGTTTTTAAAAGAGTAGATATAACAATGAGCGTTATGATTCTAAGCAATAAAATGGATCATCTTATTCTTGGTGAAACTATATAATTTTAAATAACTAGAATTACATATTCCTAATATATAGCTTTTTACACTGTAAAGTAATTTCCAAACTTAAAGTGAATTATTTAACTGTAGTATATCATTCTAGATTTGCTAAGTTTCATTTTAAAATAGTATTTCAAACCGACTTTTTTAATTTTACAAGATAAAAATATAAAATACTATTCGAATCTTTATTATATGGTAATTTAAGGGCCTATTATATTTATTTATTGGGCGGTGGGAGGGGGGAGTGTAAATTATTTCTATTTTTCCATTTTTTATGCAATCTGGCAACCCTAATAAATGATTATAATTATCTTTCTTATTAAACAACTTATTATTGTATAAATTATTTTAATTACATTTTTCTATCAAATTTAAGCCCAGATATATTTAATGATATTTGTTTAAATGGCTCCAATGGGTCAACCACGAATATTTTGAAACTTGGATTTGCATGGCCAACCTATAAAATTTCATTCGAATAGATATTTAAGAGTAACTATAATAATTATATTTATAAAACTGTATATTTAATTATGATCATTTTTATTTTTATTATTATTGCAAATTCTTTGATATTAGATTATAAATATATTAATGAAAAATAAAACTTTAGGATATGGGACAGATTTGACCAATGGGTATATCCTTTCTTTACTTCCATATTCAATAATTGGTTGTTTAGGTACTGAAGAAAAATTTATTTGAACATAAGCGAATAGAGCGCTATTAATAGACCAATAGATTGCACATGGTGACATTAATATTTCTTCTAAATAAGAAAAATTTTGATTTAAAGTCAATGGAATAAGAGCCAAGGTTTAAAATAAAAACTGACCATTTTTTTTAATATAAACAAAATATTAAATAAAATTTTAGGGAACCAATTTTTATATAAAATTAATAAAATAATCAAAACTTTTATAGAATTCATATAAATAATGCTACAGAATAAGCAAAAAAATATTATCTTTTAAATAAAATGGCGAAAATATTTAGGTGACTATTTTTGATATTATTGTAACTGATGAAAATAATTGAACATGAAATTTTATATTTTCTTATAATTCATAAATTTTCTTTTAAAAGTTGGTCATAATATTTTTTTTTAATTTACAGAGTTCTAAGGCAAACCTGAATTCAGGACATTTTTCTGAACCCATTGTAAAAACTGAACTTAAAAACATTTAAAACTCCAAACCCATTTTTCCCGATTCTTGTATAAAATAGAAATACTAAATATTATAATATGACACTTAAAAGAACATCATGCAGGCCTGATATAGTATATATGGTATCGCGTCCTTAAAGAGAAACCATTACAGAGAAAACTATTACAGAGAAAACTATTACAGAGAAAACAATTATAAAGAAACTTTTACAGCGAAAATATTTATAGAGAATGTCGTTTATAGAGAAATATTTTACAGAGAAATTTTTATAGAGCAAACAATTATAGAGAATGCCATTTATAGAAATGTCGTATATAGAAAATGATTTTAGAGAATGATTTTACAGAGAATGATTTTATAGAGAATGATTTTATAGAGAATGATTTTACAGAGAATGATAATGTTATATAAAGAATGATTTTCTAGAGAATGTATTTTATAAGAATGTATTTTATAAGAATGTATTTTATAAGAATGTATTTTATAAGAATGTATTTTATAAGAATGTATTTTATAAGAATGTATTTTATAAGAATGTATTTTATAAGAATGTATTTTATAAGAATGTATTTTATAAGAATGTATTTTATAAGAATGTATTTTATAAGAATGTATTTTATAAGAATGTATTTTATAAGAATGTATTTTATAGAATGTATTTTATAAGAATGTATTTTATAAGAATGTATTTTATAAGAATGTATTTTATAAGAATGTATTTTATAAGAATGTATTTTATAAGAATGTATTTTATAAGAATGTATTTTATAAGAATGTATTTTATAAGAATGTATTTTATAAGAATGTATTTTATAAGAATGTATTTTATAAGAATGTATTTTATAAGAATGTATTTTATAAGAATGTATTTTATAAGAATGTATTTTATAAGAATGTATTTTATAGAGAATTATTTTATAATGAATGTATTTTATAGAGAATTATTTTATAAAGAATGTATTTTATAGAATTATTTTATATAGATGTATTTTAAGATAATTTTTTTATAAAGAATTTTATTTAAAGAATATGATTATTTTGTAAAAAATGTAATATCTATATAATATATAACATTTTTGTATAATTATTACTTAGGTTCCACATAGTCATAGGGGAAAAAAATTGCGTATTTGACATAATATTAAATATTAGAATTACCTTATATAAGCGAATAATTTGGGGGTTTTTTAAATTATTACAATTGGCACAGAAAATTATTTGCTTATCTTTGCACTTCGATTATTAGATGAATTAATGGTAACAAAATTTTGACATGATTTGTAAGGAATTTTACGAAATTTATTTTTAAAGATAAGAATACAAAATAAAATAGTGTTGTTAAAAGTTACTTTGGCAATGTAACTTAAAGAATATGATTAATACTATTTGTATAAGAAGTTTTTATAAGATAAACCTAGATAATTTACTAAATAATAGCTTAGCAATATTCATTTCGAAATATCAAATAAATTTTTATTCATAAAAAATCCAAATAAACATAGTATAAATTATATACCAATATAAAAAATAATTATATGATTAAATTAAACATTTAAATGAATATGGTGGGATAAAGCCCTTAAATAATTCAGCATGGTTTTTGAATGAAAATCTTCAACAATTAGAAAAATCCTTTTGGATCTTTCGCGATATTCTTTCTTTGACAGTGGAGCCAATAGTCCTTAAGAATATTGTTAATTTGTAACAATTCAGGCAATCTTCGTCTTTGAGAGCTAAAAATTAAAATTTATAATTTAATATAATTACTAACTCTTTATAAATTTCCAGATCGTTGGATGATGGGAACTTATATGAGACTAAAAACTTCGATGCCATCCCTCTACAGAATTATTGGTATTCGGTTAACAAGATAGTGTCGATTCGTAGAAATTCCATAGAAAAATTCTAAATATTGGCGACTTCTCCTCCATCGCTATCATTTTTCCAATCCACGTCTCTTCAAAGTGTTCTATCAAGGAGGCTAGAATATCCCTATTTTCTTGATAGAATTCAGACGCACATCCTCGAATCTATAAATTACATCCTCAACTGGTACATATGCCATTTACATTAACATTTTTATGTACTTAGCAAAATTTGTTTGCGCCATATGCATTGTGACATATGAAACAGGCACCCGCACATTGCAGTAGTGGAAACGACTGTTTAAAAGCAGATAACGCTGCTAATTCAAAGTCGATCATGATGAATTTAGGGTTTAAAAAAATTTGGAAATTTTTTATTTGATTGAAAATATTAAAGTAATCTTGTTGGCGATGTGATGCCATCAGAACATAAATAGTCGGGATAATGGTTTTATGTTTCTCTTGTGGATGGTGTATATTTTATGGATGAGAGGAGGACATGTCTTGAATGTGCCATCTCTTTACCAATTATCGCATGTTAATAAAAACTGTAAATTTTTGATGGTTGAAAATATGATACATCGGTGATCACGATGACCACTATCATATAACAAAAATTGCTCATTATTATTAGATAATGATATTTAATTAGTATGACCAAGTCAATCAGACTCACGGGACAGGCGTTCTTCCTACTTAGCGTATTTTCCTTTGAATATTTCTTTGAATTTTCCTTTTAATTAAGGAACAACTGGGCATTCTTTCCAATGGCGTCCATGGATATATTGCTTGAATCGGCCATTATATTATAGGGCAGAGATTGGCAACTAGATACCTCTTGTTTAATTCTATTTAGCTCTCTTCTTGTTTCGATATCTGTAATCTCTGGTACATGGTTATTCTTTTGATTGTGGAATATAGGTATTCCGTCTTAGTTCTGGCATGCCCACTGCATCATCCACATGGAATTGAATACATCTCCAATAGATTGTTTTGTTAAATATTTTCTCTTTTTAAAATAGGTAAAAATCATAAAATAGTAACTGAATATTTCGACTACTTAAAATAAATTCAGCCATAATTTTTAAAAAAATTTTATCAAAATTAATTAAATTATTACTTTAAACATTCTAAAATGGTCTTTAGTAACAAACATTCAACAATTATAGAGAAACTTTTATAGAGAAAATAATAATAAAAAATGTCATTTATATAGAATAACATTGATATTGCTTGTTAATTTTTTTTGATATTATTAAATTTTTTGATATTACACATATAGTAAATAAAATAAGATATTAGTAATTTATGTAATACTAAATATAAAAATAAAATCATAAATTCAATATTAATTAATGAATAAAATTTAGATATAAATTGTAAGTAATTAGGGGGTATCAGTCATTGAGAATATGAAGCTGAGGTAATTGGATTTTATTATATTGAGGGCTAATCTTTGGCGTAGGTAGTAACCCTCGTTGGGATCTTCGGTCCTAGTAGAGATCCGTTTCCCCAGCTCTTTAAAGAAGGCAAGGGCGTGAGAGCTGAACGATGTTGATTGTTTTCAATTTATAAACACTTTTACTGTCATAAAAATATTTTGATATATCACAATGAAGTATTGTACGATTAAGGTTCATCGCTTTGACAAATAACTTTTAACTAAAAAATGGATTATCCGTTTGCCCCATCTATAATTTAAAATTTTTAGGAAAAATATTAATATAAGTAAGAACTAAAATAAATCTTGTTGAAGATAAAAAAAGCTTATAAATGAAAATCTCTACATTAGTGTTGTTAAATTAATAGTTACCATTACCTAGCTACACTTTTGCTAAAAAATAAATAAAACTAGTTACATTTACAAAATCGTAACTGTAGTTGTCTACATTTTTTAGAAAATAACTGCCAAAAGTAAGTTACTTAATAATAAATATAATTAAATAATAAATTTAAATTTGCAATAATTATTTTAAATTCCATTACATTATTATATGATTTAAATCATAGCCAATGAATTTATATAAATATATTATAATATATTCGATTTAACGTAATTTAATCGATCCGGCTAGCCCTGAATCTACTATCTACTAAAAATAATTGTAACTAGTTACTAGTTATATTTAGAAAAAGTAAACTAGTAACTGTAACTTGTTATATTTTCTTAATTTTAACTACTAACTTAACTAATTGCATTATTGCCAAAGTAACTTTTAACAACACTCTCTATTTTATTTTTGTATTCTCATTTTTAAAAATAAATTTCGTAAATTCCTCACAAATCATGCCGAAAATTTTTCTACCATTAATTCTTCTTTTAATCGAAAAGCCTTGTGCAAACATAAGCAAACAATTTTGTGCCGATTGTAATAATTTTCTTACAATAAAAACTATCCAATTATTCGCTTGTATACGATAATTCTAATATTTAATATTATAACAAATTCTGTCATTTTTTCCCCTATGACTAGATAGTGCCTAATTAATAATTACACAAAAATGTTATATATTATATAGATATAAAATTTTTTATAAAATAATCATATTCTTTAAATAAAATATTTTATAAAATAATTATCTATAAAATCATTCTTAAAATCATTCTTTATAAAATCATTCTCTATAAAATCATCTCTGTAAAATCAATCTCTATAAAATCATTCTCTGTAAAATCATTCTCTGTAAAATCATTCTCTGTAAAATTGTTCTCTGAAGAATTATTCTCTATAAACGACATTCTCTATAATTATTTTCTCTATAAGTGTATTCTCTATAAACGTCATTCTCTATATATATCTTTCTTCATAAAATTTTCTCTATAAAAGATATTCTCTATAATTGTTTTCTCTATAAGTGCATTCTCCATTTTTGTTTTCTCTATAAATGTTTTTCTGTAAAATACATTTTCTGTAATGGTTTCTCTGTAATGAAGTGGAACTAGTATATATGTAAAATGTATTAGTAATTTATAAGCTAAACTGAAAAAGCTTCTTTAATAAAATATCAAATGCATATTTATTTAACCTTCGTAAATCCAATCTGGAACACCATTATATATTAGATCATTAGGATCACTATTAGTAATTTTGATTGGAGTTGTCATAACGTCAGGTAAATAATAAATATTGTTTTCATAAACGAAAACCTTGGTTCATATTTTTGTTATTTTAAATCTAAGTTTAGTATAAGTTAAAAATTTATATTAACCCCATAATTATTATTTTTAAAGCTGATGTCACAAATTGATTATACTATAATTGGATGTAGTGCTGTTACTTAAGTTTAGAAAAATAAGATATAAGTGTAAATCTAAAGTATAAATAATTATTGCCATGACCATTTAAATATTAAAATTATATAGGTTATATTATATTTAATTAAACATAAAAACAAAGTACATATTGTTGTAATTGTGCACTTTTACATTATATGTACAAAAAACTTTATAGAATATTCAATGTCAATCAAGTAATGGTTGAATGTAGATTCGTAGATTATATATTTAGTTTTATATGTTATCTTATGACAATATTATATGTCATACATCTTAAACATCAATATGATGTCAATCATATTGAATTATTGTGATTCAAAGGGCTGCGAGGTTGATCGTGAAGCCATTTATTGAGACAATACTACACCTACTATAAACCGTGGTATGGTCACGCTTTATATCATTTTAAGCTAATAAAAAGTATCCTCCTAATCCTCCTTCCACTCCCTGTTCCCCAAGAATGTATGCATATATCTTAAACAATAATTTGAAAGAAAGAATGTAAAAGTTAATATTTTTTTAAACTAAAACTATTCATCATAATTCATTATTTTTTGGTGAAAAGCATGTATATAAAAAAATAGTGAAACCAAAAATGTTTTTTAAGAATTGAAACATAAGCCAAAGATAAGTCTTAAGACAAAAGTGAAATGTATTATAATTACTAATAATAGATTCATAAAATTACTAAATAATATAATATATCAAATATAATTTTTTATAAAGTGAGTATCTTTAATTTATTTATCTTAATAAAAGTAAAATATAATTATAAACTATTACAAGCGGGAAAACTTGTAATAATAATGTGAGAATGGTTTAGAATATATGATGACAAATCGTCTTTATTTAAAGAATTTATAAAGAATAATTCTTCTTATAAAAATAATCTCTTTTTATATATATAATGTAAATCAATTGTTTCCAATCACGTTATACAATTATCAACATTTAATATATTATTACAATCTAAATATATCTGACAAAAATATATATTAAATTAATGTATTATTGAAATATATATATCTCTTTTCGCCATAAGTGAAACATTTGTCAAAAAGTATATTAAACGTAAATGTAACTGAATAAAAATGACGCGAACTATATGATAACATCAACAACTTTAAGTACATTATATAAAATAAAATACAACAAATTGATCATGCGAAACATTTAAGTTGTATTATTACAACAAAAACTATTGATAAAATTAAATTATATTAAATAAAAAAAATTAAGGCACAATACAAACAGCGGAATATTATATCTAATTTTATCAATTATCAATCAAATAATTTTTACCAATAGTGAATTATATATTTTGCAGAAGACTATAAAATATTGATAAAGACATCAGAAAATATCTTTTAAAATGTAAATGAAAAAAATAATTCTATATTTCAGTATCGTTAATATCTAATAATGTGCATCTATTGTGGGATGAATAATATGAAGGTTAATTTTTAATATCATTTATTTTAAATACGTTAAATAATTGAATGCAAATTGTTACTTATATTTATTATCAAAAGCATTGATTAGTAAAGTTTATTAATATATTAACTGTAATATATTCTATAACTGTCAAATATGTCTGTAAAAGCAGAATTTTACCTAATATTTTGTAACTTCTATATAATAGAAGAATATCAACTATATGTCTATTTACTATCAACTATATGTCTATTTACTTTTTATATACTTGTTTGGAATAATTTATTAACATGCTTTTAAATTAATGTATATATGTCGTAATTTTTAAAGGGATCATGACTATCCGGGATCTTCATGGGATTTAAAGGGATAACTAAAAAATTATGGTTGATAATTAAGGAATGATAATACGGGATTATCACGTTTTAATCGTGATAAAGAGGAATCTTATTTTAAAAGCGTTTTCCACGAGTTTCGTTGCGTTTTTAAATTTCATTTTGTTTTTTTGGCCTTATGATATAAGATATGTCTAGTATAGGGTATCATTCGATAGCTAATCAAAAGATTTATTCAACTGGAGGTCAATCTCTGCCCAAGTGATAATACCGTATAGTTCTTTATCATTTAAAAAATTGAAATTTTAAAGGGATCCTTTTAAATCCCGTGAAGATCCCGGATAGTCATGATCCCTTTAAAAATTACGACATATACAAGTAATTTATTATATTTTATATAAACAAATAAAAATATATTTTATATAACCTCCTATCTTGTAAAAACATTTTATGACTATATATCTAGACTAAGGAAACCCGGCCGAAGGCTTGGGCAAAAACAGGCCCAAGGCTCACCCGAAATGGGTCTGGGGGCGCAGCTCCTAAAAAATTTTAATCCCCCCCCCCCCCCTTAGGAAAATTCTGGCTACCATATGTGTAATAATATATAAAAATATACAATATAAATAAATATTATTATAAAAATTAAATTATAAAAAAATAACAATTAATATTAATATATAAACAAATAAACTAATTAATAATAAACAAAAATAATTATTCTACAAACACTTAAACAATCATACACTCTCCTTTTTTTCCCAATATACAACTACCCAATCCCAATCAAAGATTTTCAATTTATTATTAAACTTTGCACCCTATAATTTTACTACCTCTACCATCGTAATATATTCCTTTTTTATTCATACATTTCTATAATAATACATTAATACTATATATAATCTACTTAAATCTTACCTTGATAGTAAGGTATATTACTATCAATTGTGGATGCTAGCTTATCCACAAGAGGTATCGTCAGTCTCTAAATTAAATGGGTTATGACAGTAGAATAAATTACTGCCAAACAGTGGATGCAAATCCACTGCACTGAAAATGCTCTCTATAGGGCGGTGGAGTGCCCACTTAATTATGGGATGTCTCCCCAGTGTATGATACGATGCGAAGTCCTTTGTCGTTTTAAAAAAACTTCGTGAGTTGATTCAAAGTAAATTTAATATATATCTACATATAATTTAGAAGTATATATGGGATTTGTGTAACAAATCATATTTAATCCGACGTTCGTATTAAAAGCCTCAATCTGCATTGAAAAGGATTAGAAATTTCATTGGTTTACTGATAAAATTTTTAATATCTAAGATAAAAATTTTAGAATTTTTTGTTGAAAAAAATGTATAATGGTGGACAAAACTATCTGATTAGAAATATAATTATTAGGTTTATTATATTTATTTTTTGATTCCACCTATTTTTAGATGTTTAGATTTTTATTGGAAATGCAGTGATACATCACATAAGATATTTTTCTCATTGTCAAAAGATTTCCCCCTACTGGTCTCAGACTTCCTCTTATGACAGAGCGATTGGTTTAAAAATGTTCTGCGTATGAATTACTAGGAGTCTATAATAATAAGATTATTGAGATGTGACGTTGGTATCGACCCTTATTAAATGAACAGTTTCATGCTTCGCCTTAAAGATCCAATCTTACCGTTTATGAGATAAGCGGTTAGACTATGTCACATCCTAGCCAGCTGGCAAGAGATTGCATAGTTTACGATTAAGATGAGAATCCAACTATTCGTATCCTAATCCTATTAACAGACTAGAGAAGTTATATCAAATCTAATTGAGGAAGGGTAATATATTTGTATGCAAGTTTTGGATTACGTGTTGAGTAAATTTGGGATTAAGATTTTTTTTTATCCCATTTACGTATTTATAACATAATCTAATAATTGGCAAAATGAAGCTAGATATCCATATTTATCAATTTTGGAGGGGATAAAAAATGATAAGGATATATATTAAATAAGTAAGAATATACATGATTTCTGAGCCTAGTTATAATTTGCTAATTTATATTTAAAATGCTTAAATTTTTTTTAAAATATAAATTGGCCATAAAATTACTGTTTAAAAAAGATAAGATGATCATTATGTAAAAATTTTAGAATATAGTGAATTCTATGGCAATCAAAAATCATTTCAGAGAATATAAAATTTTAAGGAAATAATAAGGGAAAAAAATTTCATCGTTATTTTAATCCTTATCAATTAAGAAATAGGAATTATGTAATTATAAATACCCTAAACAATCACGATATAATTATTAACAAATTATTAGAATTAATTGTAATTTTTAGGTAGTTATGCTCATGCCTAATATTGACCTCGTGAATTTGACTTTTACATACGAAATAAAAGATTTCAAGTCAATTATCACCAATGCTGAAACATAAAATATATAAACAAATTTAATTAAAGAAGATTTCGTATTGTCAACGGTCATTCTCTTATTAATAATTGGCAAGACTCATTGTGACTATTTACAATGAGAGTTATGAGAATTTTTAAAATCAAATTGAAAAAAAAAACATTTGGAATAGATACTAACTTCAGAATATTTCCAAACAATAGATTTTTTTTGTAAGGAGGCTAAAAAGCTTCTGTATAGCTTTGCTCTCTGGCACTACATCCAATTATTTATCTCATATTGATGAACATTTGTGAGACCAGGAATATGTGGCCTTAGGAGTTGAGTGGTCATACCCACTTAACTGAATATAAATTAAATTTATTTTGCCTCAAAATTGTGTTAGCGTCAATGTGTTATTTTCGATTGCCTGATTTTTTTAGGCAATGTGTTACGGTGGTAGGCAGGGTGAATTAGTTATTTAGGCAATGTATTTTATTTTATAAATTAATAAATTTATTATTTATTTGAGAGATTAATTTATTATTTAATTAATATTAATTTAATATTTATTTGAGAGGAATTTATTATTTATAAATTTATTATTTTTATAATTTAAAGATTTTATTAGATATATTTTTAAGTAATATTTTAAAGATTGTCAATGTTTTTTTTATATTTTTTCGAGATTTATATAAATATTTTTATATATTAATTTT